GGAGGTGACAAAGAGCTCATCATAAATGGTTACGTTGATGCAAGCTTTGACACTGATCCGGACGATTCTAAATCGCAAACCAGATACGTGTTTACATTAAACGGTGGAGCTGTCAGTTGGTGCAGTTCTAAACAAAGCATTGTGGCGGGATCTACATGTGAAGCGGAGTACATAGCTGCTTCGGAAGCAGCAAACAAATGAGTCTGGATGAAGGAGTTCATATCCGATCTAGGTGTCATACCTAGTGCATCGGGTCCAATGAAAATCTTTTGTGACAATACTGGTGCAATTGCATTGGCAAAGGAATCCAGATTTCACAAGATAACCAAGCACATCAAGAGACGCTTCAATTCCATCCGGGATCTAGTCCAGGTGGGAGACATAGAGATTTGCAAGATACATACGGATCTGAATGTTGCAGACCCGTTGACGAGCAAAACATGATCAACACCAAAGCTCCATGGGTGTTAGAATCATTACTGTGTAATCTAGATTATTGACTCTAGTGTAAGTGGGAGACTGAAGGAAATATGCCCTAGAGGCAATAATAATGTTATTATTTTATTTCCTTATATCATGATACATGTTTATTATTCATGCTAGAATTGTATTATCCGGAAACATAATACTTGTGTGAATACATAGACAAACTAAACGTCACTAGTATGCCTCTACTTGACTAGCTTGTTAATCAAAGATGGTTATGTTTCCTAACCATAGACATGTGTTGTCATTTGATTAACGGGATCACATTATTAGGAGAATGATGTGATTGACATGACCCATTCCATTAGCTTAGCACCCGATCGTTTAGTATGTTGCTATTGCTTTCTTCATGACTTATACATGTTCCTATGACTATGAGATTATGCAACTCCCGTTTGCCGGAGGAACACTTTGTGTGCTACCAAACATCACAACGTAACTGGGTGATTATAAAGGAGCTCTACAGGTGTCTCCAAAGGTAAATGTTGGGTTGGCGTATTTCGAGATTAGGATTTGTCACTCCGATTGTCAGAGAGGTATCTCTGGGCCCTCTCGGTAATGCACATCGCATAAGCCTTGCAAGCATTGCAACTAATGAGTTAGTTGCGAGATGATGTATTACGAAATGAGTAAAGAGACTTGCCGGTAACGAGATTGAACTAGGTATTGAGATACCGACGATCGATTCTCAGGCAAGTAACATATCGATGACAAAGGGAACAACGTATGTTGTTATGCGGTCTGACCGATAAAGATCTTCGTAGAATATGTGGGAGCCAATATGAGCATCCAGGTTCCGCTATTGGTTATTGACCGGAGACATGTCTCGGTCATGTCTACATTGTTCTCGAACCCGTAGGGTCCGCACGCTTAAGGTTTCGATGACAGTTAGATTATGAGTTTATGAGTTTTGATGTACCGAAGTTAGTTCGGAGTCCCGGATGTGATCACGGACATGACGAGGAGTCTCGAAATGGTTGAGACATAAAGATTGATATATTGGACGGCTATATTCAGACACCGGAAATGTTCCGGGTGATTTCGGAGAAAACCGGAGTGCCGGAGGGTTACTGGAACCCCCCCGGGAGAAGTAATGGGCCTTATGGCCCTTAGTGGAGAGAGAGAGGAGCAGCCAGGGTGGGCCGCGCGCCTCCTCCCCTTGGTCCGAATTGGACTAGGAGAGGGGGGGGGGCGGTGCCCCTCTTTCCTTCTCCCTCCCCCCTTCCTTTCCCCCTCCTAGTAGGAGTAGGAAAGAGGGGAGTCCTACTCCTACTAGGAGGAGGACCCCTCCTCCTTGGCGCGCCATAGGGGCCGGCCGGCCTCCTCCCCTTGCTCCTTTATATACGGGGGCAGGGGGCACCCCTAGACACACAAGTTGATCCACGTGATCGTTTTCTTAGCCGTGTGCGGTGCCCCCTTCCACCATAATCCTCGATAATATTGTAGCGGTGCTTAGGCGAAGCCCTGCGACGGTAGAACATCAAGATCGTCACCACGCCGTCGTGCTGACGGAACTCTTCCCTGACACTTTGCTGGATCGGAGTCCGGGGATTGTCATCGAGCTGAACGTGTGCTAAAACTCAGAGGTGCCGTAGTTTCGGTGCTTGATCGGTCGGGCCGTGAAGACGTACGACTACATCAACCGCGTTTTCATAACGCTTCCGCTGTCGGTCTACAAGGGTACGTAGATCACACTCTCCCCTCTCGTTGCTATGCATCACCATGATCTTGCGTGCGCGTAGGAATTTTTTTGAAATTACTACGTTACCCAACATGTTATTTGTTTCCTAATTAATGTGATTGAGCGATTTAAGGTAATTAATTTAGATTTGATCTTTAGAGATTGATCGTGATTGATTCTTTCACATAAAGATATTACAAAATAACTTGCATTAGTACGGAAAGTTCTGATCCGTTCAGATTTTTTTCGTTGTGTGAGAGGGTGATGCGAAACTAAACCGGTGGGGTGGAGAAGGGGACTAAAAAACTCAGTGAAATAAAACGGTTGAAAGTGGCGGGACGAAAATAAACCGTGGATACTATTCAACCAACTCACACATTAGGAGTAAAGATGAATCTCACCTCATGCCAAGCCACACTCCACATGGACATCAAGCAACCACATCACTGTCCACGGTCCTTCGGCCACACGAACCTACAGACCAGCTACTGAAGTGTTTGAGGCAGAGGACTAGTTGGGGTGGCGGTGTTAGAACATTAAATTGCACATAAAAAGTCAGAGCTCACCATGGTGCTCCGTGGTCAGGGTGTTGACCTTCACATAGTGGTGCTTGGGAACGGCGACCGACGAGCAGGATGGCCAACTTGGTGCCCGGGAGGAAGGCTCTTGGCGGAGGTGTAGCGACCAACGTAGATGTTGAGACAATCATAGTTCTCAATGAGGCGTGACCAAGTGCAGGTGTCTAGGGGAGCGACCAGGGACTGGGCCTTGATCATGTAGCCATCGATCTTTTCCGCGGCCTCCTCCGCAATGAGGTATTGACGACGTCGATAGGGTCAACGGAGGCATCATTGGTTCTCGGAAAAAAACCCGGAGGCATCCTTGGATTTGCGCTTCTCCTCTTTCTTTGATTTGGTTAGATTAGAGGCTACGGATGTGATCTCAACCGAGTATAGGACGTGGCCGCAATGGAGTTTAGGTATTAGGGTTTTTGCAAAAGGGGGCCGTGACATGGTTGAGCATGGTAAAATTAAGGGGAGCTCCTAGTTGGCGCTCTAAGCGCCACTTTCCTCAACCAGCGCCCGCAGCGCATCGTGCGCCAGCTTCCGTGGGCCGGTCCAGGAAAGGAGGCGATCGCTGGTTCGGGAGTCGCTCGTTTCCCATCTCGCAGGATCGCTAGTTCAAGGCAGTTGGTCGTTTCTCATCTCGTGGTCAATGGTTGACCGGGCCAGTTGACTATTTTACAAATTCTTTTTTTAGAAAACCCCCTCTCCCCAAAAATCACCAAATTCGAAAAAGTTCATCTCTTTTGAAAAAATGTTCAGCAATTTTGAAGAATAGTTCATCAAATTTAGAAAAAAGTTCATCAATTTTGAAAAAGGTTCATCGAATTTGAAAAAAGTTCACTGAATTTGGAAAAAGGTTAATCAAATTTTAAGATAAGTTTTAAAAATTAGAAAAAAGTTCATCGAAATTGAAAAAAAGTTCATTAAAAATTGAAAAAAGTTCATTGAAATGGAAAAACGTTCAGTGAATTTGAAAAAAAGTTCATCGATTTTGAATTTTTTTTCAATGAATTTAAAAAATAGTTCATCGATTTGAAGAAAAAGCTCAAGAATTATAAAAAACATCGAGGCAGGAAGAATAAAAAGAAAAAACGAAAACGATAAAGGAAAAAGGTGAAAGGACAGATGAAATAAGAAAGGAAGCAAAAGGATTTTATTGATCGAATCTAGCTGGGTGGCGCGGTGGTAGCTGCCTGTTAATTCGAAGGGAAGGTTGGGGCCATACCTGGCCAAATGGGCCGGCCTAGGCGTGCCGGCACGATAGCCCGCATGCCTGGGCCGTGCCTGGGCTGGCTAGGCAGGCACGCGTGCCGGCTCGGTACGGCACGCTTAACCGTCTGGCGTGTGGCGACTAGCTGGGCAGAAGCGTCTCAGTCAAAAGAAACGTTGCGTGAGGGACCCGGAGGTGTGGCCCATGAAAGCGACATGCACACGAGAGCTGAGGCACGCGCGAACGAGAGAGACGTGCTTCGATGTGCCTCCTGCGCGAGCGCACGACGTGTGAGATTTTTTTCCTAGGCACTAGGCAAGAGATCACGTACGTAGCGTGCCTCGATCTCTCGTGCTGGCGTGCTTACCGGGCCAGCGTGCCGACACGTTTACTGAGGGGCCGTGCTTGGGCCGCGAAGGTCAGCATGCGTGCCGGCCCGGCCCGGCCCACGTACTAAGCGTGCCTGGTCGGGCCGTGCCGTGCCTGGCCCGTTTAACTCAGGCCGGGCCGGGCCGGGCCGTGCCAACCCGTTTGGCCAAGTTTGGTTGGGGCTCGATACCTGTCGGGAGCGCTACCTTTTTTGCCTCTACAAAACAGAAAGGAACCAGGGTGAGATGGGCCGGCCCAGTGCGGGGCGCTGCAGGCGCCCGTTTGCAGAATACACATTAATGGGCGCCTGCAGCGCCAAATAGGATTTGCCAAAATTAAGGGCTCAAGGAGGGCGCTATTTTTTTTATAAAAAAACTCAAGGAGGAAGGGTTTATCGGGCTTAGGAACAAGTGCTGCGCTGCTGGGCCAGACATATGGTTTTTCCTGGGCCGCCCCATTCAGGGAGAGAACACGGGCTACAAAGCGATGGCATCCCGGCCCATCTGATAAACCCACATGTCAGTGTCACACTCGGGCACGGTATCCGCTAATCGCTTTCACCATCCTCGAAAACCAAAAGAAATCCCGCAAAACCCTAACCTCTGAGCGACCCTCTGCTCTCGCCGTGCTCCGCAACGTCCAAGCAAGCGCCGGCGGCGCGACCAGCCGTACCACCCGATCTCTCACCATGGAGAAGGTAATCCCGCGCTCATCCGCTCCCATCGATGGATCTCTTCGCTCGCGCGCCTCTGATTCGAGTTTTGCTGGCCTCGTGCAGCCCGCGGCGCAGGCACCGGGGAAGGCGGCTTCAGAGGAGAAGGTCTGTGCGGAAGTTGCCGCGCCGGCAGTCCAATTTTGCGCTCTGTTTATTATCAGCGGCTCACCCGATTTCTCTCCTCTCTTTTTTGGTGGTGATGCGAGCAGCAGCTTGACGACAAGGAGCTGGAGCTAGAGCGGGAGCGGAAACTGAAGAAAGAGCAGAAGGTATGCTTGGCCGACATCCGTGTGAAATTGCTTTCGCGAATTTTGTCCCTGTGCTGTTGTTCGTCTTGACGTGCATTTGTAATTGACAACCAGTTCTCCCGAATTGGTTGTGTGGTCATCTGTGAATTGTGCTGATGTTAGAAACTACAGGTCCAGTGCCAAGATGAAATTATTAGTTATGTTTATGGGAAAAGATCCCTTATGGGTTCAGTGTTCTACTTGCAGGCTAGAGAGAAAGAGGAGAAAAAGCTCAAGGCAAAGCAAAAGGAGACTGCTAGGCTCCAGGTTGCAACATCCTTAAATGAGTTTGGTGCTGGAACGCTTGGTGGAGATGGGTTTGTGCTGATTTCGTCGTCTGCAGGCTCAAGCAACATCGGATGGACCTAAGAAAAGTGAGAAGAAGCAAAAGAAGAAGGCTGCGGGGGATGAAAACCCCGAGGATTTCATTGACCCTGAGACCCCTAGTGGGGAGAAGAAATCGCTTGCACCTCAAATGGCTAAGCAGTATAGCCCAAGTGCAGTTGAAAAATCGTAAGATGCGCTAGTCTGCTTTTCTCGTATTTGTAATTCATAGCATCTGAGACGCCTACCTGAACTGAATACCTTTTCTCCCCACAATGTAGGTGGTACTCCTGGTGGGAGTCAGCAGGATATTTTGGGGCAGACCCTGCAAGCACAAAACCACCTTTTGTTATAGTAAGTGACCCACTTCTTATTAGCTTCATGCAAGATGTGCACTGGGAGCTGGGTTAGCATGATGTCATCTTATGGGATCACTAGTGTTTTTGTACAAATGTGGATTTGGATTTCCTTCCAGCAAAAGTGCTAAGTTATTTCATTTCAGGTTCTACCACCTCCGAATGTGACTGGAGCGCTTCATATTGGTCATGCACTTACAGTGGCTATAGAGGTGTAAATTTTATGCTTGTAGAGATGTGAGACCTATTTGCCATTCCCTGGTCACTCACGAGACATTTTAAGCTCTTTGCTTTTATTTTGTTTCAACAATGCAGGACGCTATGATAAGGTGGAGGAGAATGTCGGGATATAATGCTCTGTGGGTCCCAGGAGTGGACCATGCTGGAATTGCTACACAGGTCTGTATCTTGGACTTGATTAAGTTCATCTTGTGAATGACATACACATATAGTACAGTTGAGTTACTCATATCTTCTTTGGTGGCACTTGCTGTCACTCAACTTATGAAAAAATACCGTGTTTGTTGTTTGTGTGCCACCACTAAAATAAAGCTGCCAACAGGGGTTCTAGGCCCTGTTAGTATATGTAATGTTTGTAATATTGGCAAAAGTATTTGGAACACTATTTCCAAAGCCCAGATGTTTCTTACCGTGTTACTGCCTTACCGGTAGGCTTGCCAATTTCGCATGCACCTAACTAGAAGCAATGGCCACATGGATATTTTAGTTTTGGCAGAATGATGTACTTTCTCTTTATCAGACTTTCTTTTTCCCTTTTAGCAAATGAAACTAAATCTTGTATGAAACAATTCCTTATTTAACACTATCTTAAATTTCGTTTCCTTATTTAACACTCAAAAAAAATTCAAAAAAAATTTTGTTTCCTTATTTAGCACACACACAACAACACACACAGTGGTGGAGGCATAGGGTGCTGGCAAGGGCCTTGCCCCCCCTAAAAGAAAACTTAGATATTCAAAATAGATTATGTGGGCTCCATAAGAAAATCCAACAAATAATAGTATAATAATTATTCATAAAGATGATAAAAAAAAATCATCAAACAGCACACGTGCACAAACATACCACATGAGGGGTAAAAGAGTCTTTTCAAGTGTCATTTAGGCTAAAAATGGACTGAAGTGTTATAAAAGGCATAAAATTTAGACTCCTTGCTAGATAGGGAAGAAATTATTTGTCGATGTCAAATAGGGCATAAAATTTAGACAGTGTTAAATAAGGAATTCTCTCATCTTGTATGGTGTTGCCAAATGTAGTTATTTTGTATTGTCTTCAACCTGCACTATATCCTACACCCTCTGTTTGATTTAATAATATGTTCTCCTAAGCCAGGTTGTAGTGGAAAAGAAGCTAATGCGTGAAAGGAAGCTGACAAGGCATGACATAGGCCGTGACAAATTTATATCTGAAGTAAGCACCTATATTCCCCTTAATACATGGTTATGTTTGTTGTTCATCTTCTCCTGTATCAGATCATAATTCATTTAATCATTACCTTTATACTATGGAATATTAATAATCGGGCTCAACATCCGATGTAGTCATAAAATCGCAGTGAGCATAGCTTCACACTGGGCTTAATTTGATTCCATTGTGGTAATCATTTTCTTGCTTATTCTATTTTTTGTCATCATCTTTCGGTCAGGTTCTGAAATGGAAAGATCAGTACGGTGGTACCATACTGGGTCAATTACGTAGGCTTGGGGCTTCGCTTGATTGGTCCCGTGAGGTAAAATTCCTGTTTTCTTTAGTTGAGAAAAAAAGCACATGCACTTGTTTTTTTTACTCTTATATTTCTTACTCTGAAATTACCAACTTGATGATCTTAACTCGTGTATCAGTGTTTCACAATGGATGAACAACGATCGAAAGCTGTAACCGAAGCATTTGTTAGGTTGCACAAAGATGGCCTAATTTATAGGTTAGTTTCCTCTCCTTCTGTTGCTGTAAGTGTTAACATATTTTTAACTATCATCTCTATGTCATTCAATGACCGACCTAGTTTTCTTACCTCTTATGTATGATTTGGTCCTTTACAGGGACTACCGCCTTGTGAATTGGGACTGCACACTTTTAACAGCAATATCTGACATAGAGGTTAACAAAGCTTATTGTATTGTCTACACTGTACAGTTTGATTCCACACCCATGACTAAGATCAACTTCTTCATTAAAAATGCTGTTTTCTCAGGTGGATCATCTAGAGCTTAAAGAGGAAACTATGCTGAAGGTCCCTGGTTATAGTAGTCCTGTACAGTTTGGTGTGTTGATATCCTTTGCCTATCCTCTTGAAGAAGGACTAGGTGAAATTATTGTCGCAACAACAAGAATTGAAACAATGCTCGGTGATACGGCAATAGCTGTTCATCCTGAGGATAAAAGGTATAAGCATCTGCATGGAAAGCATGCCATTCACCCGTTCAATGGCCGAAAACTCAAAATAATCTGCGATGCGGTGTTAGTGGATCCCACTTTCGGTACTGGGGCTGTCAAGGTATGTTATAATGCCTAGGACTGACCTAATTTATTTTTATTTCAGTTTACCTAATTTATTTGCGTGCTCGTTTTGCAGATTACACCTGCCCATGACCCAAATGACTTTGAGGTTGGAAAACGACACAACCTAGAGTTCATCAATATCTTCACAGATGATGGGAAGATAAACAGCAATGGAGGTGCACAATTTGAAGGAATGCCAAGATTTGCTGCTCGGGTTGCAGTTATTGATGCACTGAAGGAAAAGGTATTACTGGTTTCATTTAGCTATTGGTGCATAACGTTTATGATGTAGTATTTGAAGAATGGTTGTTAGGTTATTGCGCTGGATTAGTATAAATTTTAGGTGATGGCATACAAAGAGAGACTATACAGTGAAATATCATGAACTTATGTAATGTAATATTCACATTTCTATTTTGCTAACACTTACTACAAAAAACAAATTGGAACTTGCTAGCCTTAAGCAATATTGTTTCTTGTATAAACATTTCTACCTCTTACATGGTTGTCCTTCACCCTTTCTGATTAATCTAGTTAATGAGTCTCTCAGTACAGCGTTCTTTTTATGAGAAATATGTGTTTTGGTAGTTTGTGTATATGTTGCTTCAAGGCTTCTTCATGTTATCCCATTTTGGTTGGGTATCCATTGTAACGGATTCTCATCTCTTATTAGAAATTTGCATGCCTGTGGAACCCAGTGACCAACTATTTACCTTTACTAATCACTTTAGACTGATTTTTTTGCCTTTTCCAATTTATTTCATTTGGATTAATTAAGTACTCCATCCGTTCCTAAATATAAGTCTTTTTAGAGATTTCAATATGGACTACATACGTAGCAAAATGAGTGAATCTACACTCTAAACTATGTCTATATACATCCGTATGTAGTCCATATTGAAATCTCTAGAAAGGCATATATTTAGGAACAGAGGGAGTAGTTCTGAGTTTTGGACTAACAATGTTTTATTCTGCCAATTAAGGGGTTGTACAAGGACACAAAAAAGAATGAAATGAATTTGGGCATTTGTTCAAGAAGTAATGATGTAGTGGAACCTATGATAAAGCCTCAATGGTTTGTTAATTGCCATACGATGGCAAAGGCAGGTCTTGATGCTGTAAGATCCAAAAAAATTGAGATTATTCCGCAACAATATGAACAAGACTGGTACAGGTATCTCCTTTTGCCTAGTTATAAGTGCCACCTCTTGCAGACTTCAGCTGAAAGTAATGAAATATCAAGAAACATGATCCATCCACCATTCTTGCAGATGGCTTGAAAATATACGCGATTGGTGTGTTTCAAGGCAACTCTGGTGGGGACATCGTGTACCTGCGTGGTATGTGACACTAGAAGATGAGCAATTGAATGATCTGGGATCAAACAATGACCGTTGGATAGTCGCAAGGAATGAATGTGATGCAATGCTTGAGGCACAGAAAAAGTATCCGGGGAAGAAATTCCAGTTAAATCAAGACCCTGACGTTTTGGATACTTGGTTTTCATCTGGTCTCTTCCCATTGACAGTGCTTGGTTGGCCAGATGATACTGCTGATCTTCGTGCTTTCTACCCTACTTCAGTACTTGAAACTGGACTTGATATTCTCTTCTTCTGGGTGGCACGTATGGTGATGATGGGTATGCAACTTGGTGGTGATGTGCCATTTCAGAAGGTAACGACAGAAATGTTTTTCTCTGACAATTAAACTGTATTCTATCTACAGTTCTAATAATCCATTATACATAAATAATCTAATTCCTTGTGCGCACTCTTTAGCTTATAGCTACCTCTTCCTTCTGTCTCCATAGGCCTGGACATAGTGAAACTTTGCTTTAGTGTAACAGTAGCTATGCCCAAATGTCCAAAAACTGAAGCAATCTACATTTAATAGTGGCAGTGCATAACCACCATTGTTTCACAAAATCATGCATTATGAATTCTACTGACATTTGCTGAATGGATTAATGAGGTTGTCCATTTTGCACTATTTGCTGCTCTGCCATTTTCCTCTACATGCCATTCCAGTGTTGTCCTGATTGAACTCTGAAGATATGTTACTCACGGCAATCTACCTTAAACCTTGGTAGTTGGAGTATGTGGATGTTACAGACAAGGTTCAGTTAAAAAAATGAGAGCGTAATTGTTTGACAATATAGTGCACTATAAGTTTTCCAGATACTCGTTGGAGAAACTTCCACCCTTTTTCAATTATTATTCCGCGATCTGTCATTTGTGTCAACGGGTCAGCTTCCTGCATGAACTCTGTTCTTAGTTAATTTTGAACACAAGTTACATTTCTGTCATCATCGTCCTTTGTCATATTGTACTGTGTGCTTGATTGAGACTATCATGTAGTGTTAAATGCTTAAACTCATTAACTTTCCTTTTCTTTTCTGGATGGAAGGTGCTTCTCTTTAAATTCCGAAACTATTTATTTAACCAACCATATTGAGCTTCAACTCTTTTCTAGTTGAAGATATGCTTTAATTGTCTTGCATACTGAATCATGATTGCACCCTCTTTTGCAGGTGTATTTGCATCCTATGATCCGTGATGCACATGGCCGCAAAATGTCCAAGTCACTTGGTAATGTTGTTGATCCCCTCGAGGTGATAAATGGTACGACACTGGAAGATCTCCTGAAACGTTTGGAAGAAGGCAACCTGGATCAAAATGAGTTAAGTGTTGCAAGAGAAGGGAAGAAGAAAGATTTTCCTGATGGCATTGCTGAATGTGGCACTGATGCACTCCGTTTCGCACTGATTTCTTACACTTCTCAGGTTATAGTCACACCCATTTGAGTTTCTGTTGTAGTATTATAAGCTCCCAATTCATCTTTTTATAGAATCTCTCTTGTTTTGCAGTCTGACAAGATAAATCTTGATATCAAGAGGGTTGTTGGATATCGCCAATGGTGCAATAAATTGTGGAATGCCATTCGTTTTGCAATGGGCAAACTTGGCGATCATTATACTCCACCAGCAACCATTGTTGTGTCTTCAATGCCCCCGGTCTGCAAATGGATACTCTCGGTACTTAACAAGGCTATTGGCAAGACTGTGACCTCATTAGAAGCATACAAGTTCGCCGATGCAACATCTGCTATTTACTCATGGTGGCAATACCAGCTATGTGATGTATTTATAGAAGCTGTAAAACCTTACTTCTTCAATGACTCTCAAGAGTTCGATTCAGCAAGAGCTGCTTGTAGAGATGCCCTATGGGTTTGCCTCGACAATGGTTTGCGTCTGCTCCACCCATTCATGCCTTATGTAACAGAAGAACTCTGGCAGCGTCTTCCTCAGCCCAAAGATTCTTGCAGAAAAAATTCCATCATGATATCAGAATATCCATCTGTTGTTCAGGTAATACTCATGTCTAACAGAAGACTTTAAATACATCGAATTTCATGTTGCAATATCCTTTTCTTAGTGGAAAACAATTGTTCTTTATCACAGGAATGGGCAGATGATAAACTTGAAAGTGAATTTAGTATTATCTTGGATACTGTGAACAAACTAAGATCTCTGAAGCCACCAACAGATACAAATGAGAGGTGTGTATATGTGGTCATGTACCTGGGCTTTGTGTTCACAATGTACTGTGCATGATATATATGGTTGCTTGATTCTTCTTGTTCTACAGTTGGCTTGCCAAATCGACATCTTATTTCTTATCTTTTTCATGAACAGGCGACCTGCTTTTGCACTTTGTCGAGGCGAAGATATTGCTGCCACTGTTCAGTGCTATCAATCTCTAGTGGTGTCTCTTTCTTCTGTATCGTCACTTAAGGTTTTGCCTTGCATTTCCTTAGCTGTATTATGTGTTTTATTATCTGAAAACTTCCTTTACGGATCTAATGTTTTGGTAAAGCCTGGAGTGGAGCATATCATCTCAAGTGACTGTCTATCGCAGAATAATCAATTTTCATACTCCCTCCGTTTCTTAATATAGGGTGTATAGTTTTTGGTACGGAAATTAAAGAATGCATGTGGAGAAAAAATTTCACAAGTTATGGGTGAGATTACACCTAACTAATTAACATGAGAAAATAGAGGAGCTAGCCTAATATATGGAAATATAATAAATTCACTAAAAACATTATCCAGCCAAGTGGTGCAATGCAATACACCTTATATTTCGGATTTTTTCTCAAAAATCTATACACCTTATATCAAGGAACGGAGGGAGTAGTTGTTTTTATCCTTTTTCATCTGTTTGATGAAAAACACTGATTTGATGTTGGACAATTTCCAGATCCTGGCAGAGAGTGACGAAACTCCACCTGACTGTTCGACTGCTGTTGTCAACAAAGATCTGTCCGTATACCTTCAGCTTCAAGGAGCTCTAAACGCGGAAGTGGAGCTCGAAAAGCTAAGGAAAAAGAGGGATGAAATCCAAAAGTAAGCCTGATTTGCCATCTAATTGTTCTCTCCCGCTAAAGATCCGCATGTATGGTTGTCCTTGTTGTTAATCCCACTGTATCACCTGTAACATGGTTTCTTGTTATCCATGCGCGCAGGCTACAGCATGCCCTTTCTCAGAAGATGGAAGCGTCCGGTTACAGAGAGAAGGCCCCGCCCAGCGTCCAAGAGGAGGACATGAGGAAACTCACTGCCTTTTTCGAGCAACTGCGGGTGATTGGTGAAGCTGAGAAGAAACTAGATGCGTAAATTGGCAATGCTTGAGTCGGCTCTCTGTTTATTGATTGGAAACGAATGGCATTTTTGTTTCGAAGCTGATGTACTGCACAGTTTTTTGCGGATGCTGATGCTGTGATCACATTTACAGAAAATTCAAATGGAGCAATGAAACTCCAATTTCCTACATATGCCTTACTTTTGTAAATGATGTTTACCTGCGAGTGTCAGTGTCAATTGACTATTTTTTTCAGTGGCCAAGCCGTTGAGTTTTTTTTTTTTTTGCAAAGTTCTGCATTCAATTTGAACTTGTCTGTTCTATCCATGGGTGTAAAGTGTAGAAAGGGCAACAATATTCAGCAGAAACGCAAAACCACATTTTGTGAAAAAAAGGAATCTATATAGTACTTAAATCATCATGATTCACTGACATAACAAATGGTGCTTCTTAGAAAAGATAAGCAATTTTAAAGATTTATTATTAACTAGTCACTCTGCTAAAAATAGGACAATCGCACACCTGAAATGTGCGCTTGCTATATTTGCGAGAGGGAAAATGTGTTATGCACTGGCCATTTGTTGTTTTACCTAACATTAGTCGAAGCCAAAAAGAAAAAGAAATAAATAAAGGCTTAATAATCCTTTGCCCCTACTGTTACTCTACCTAATCCCACACGGTTTCTACGAGGAAAACGACTCCGTTTTCAAACAAAGAAGTTTCTAATCCTGCACGCGCCAACGGCCTACCCGCCCACCTCCCCCCGGCCGTCCGATCCCGCCCCGCTGGCCACACGAACGGCCGCGATGCGTTCCATCTATAATTACCGAGCTGCCCCCGCTTGACCCCCGCTTGACCTGTTCGTCCCTGACCGCTGACCTACATAAGGCAAAGCACCGACGGAGCAGACAAAAATGGAGGAGAGAGAATAGAATTTTCCGCCAGGAGCGCCGCGACGACGACGACGACCAGAGGAGGACGAGGCCTATAGCTCCAAGCTTCGGCCCACGCCCCGCCCCTTCCCCCGCCCTGCCCGGTACGTGCGTCCCTTCCCTTCCTCGCTCCGGGATCGGGTCGGGGGGCGGCGCCGGTCGCCGCAAGGTTCGCCGGCTCGATTGAAATCGGCTGCGAGCTGCCGGGCTGCTCCTGTCGGCGTGTTCGTGCTGGGTATCGGATTCTCGTAGCCACGTACGTACGTAGCTGGGTTGAGACGGCGTGAGTAACATGCCCGTTGGATTTGGTTTCCCTGTAGCTGCCGTTCTCCACATGCATTTTTTTTTTGAACCAGTCCCGGTGATTTGATGGCGTTGACGATTAGGAGGAGCGTTTCTCTTGTTTCCTTCCGTTGCGCTAGTATTTTGTGGCGCCGTTTGAACTAGTGTTTGGGGCCTGCCGGAATTGGTCTTTGTTTCTGGTGCTGGTAGGTGTATTTTCCACATTGGGTCCGCTAATCCAATGCACACCACTTGGAAAAAAAGATTGTGTGTTAACTTGCAGTTTACCTTTGGAATTCTGATTAGCCTGTTTTCCATGATTGGTCTGTGGTCAAGTTCTAGGATTGTATGTTTTTTTTTCATTTGATGAAACATTCTGTGATGCCAAATTTTTAGACAAAAAGAATTGGAACTTTGGATGGTGACCGATGCTTACCTTGCACAAATGCCCTCATTCTTCGCGATGTTTCATAAAGTCAGGTGTAGTCCTGTGGAACGATATATGATGCCTTACCTCTTTTCGAAAAAAAAAGACGTCTTGCCTCATACAAAGACCGCATTGCCCCGATTGTCGGAATTGGGTGTGGTTCTGTTTGCCTCTGGGTTTGCTGATTCGCGTTCAGGGTTTGCTGGTCTGATTGAATTGTTGTGAGCCACTGGATTTGATCTTGTGGTTGTGTTTATGCGGAATATTGAATTCGCATAGCCACATTGTTGGGTTGAGATGGATGCTGCTTTTATGAGTAATGCCCGTTGGATTTGGTTTCCCTGTTTCTGCTGCTCTCCATGCGTATCAGACGGCCAGGTGATTTGGGGGAATGGTGAGCATTGATGATTAGGAGGGGCATTATTGCAGCATTTTTTTTTGTTTCCTCCGTTTTCATTGTAATGCTCATTTGAGCTAAATGTGTCGACGTGGCGTTTGAACTAGTATCTTGGTCTGCCACAATTGATCTTTGTTTCTAGGGTTGGTAGATGTTACATTGGATCCACTAATCCTATCGTTCCTAAGTTCCTACTCGTTGCATGCCACTGGGAAAAAACATCGACTTCTGGCGTGCCTTCGGAATGTAGATTGATCCTTTTCTCTTCCTTGCATAATTGGTTTGTGGTCAAGCTGTAGGATTGCGGAAAACTGTTGATGAAAAGGTTGATTCTATAATGCCAAAATTTGCAACATTACATTGGAATTGGGGATGGTAAATGAGGCTTACCTTACACACTAAATATGATCATTGTAATCTTTCATAAAGTCAGGCTATGGTCTTTCCTTCAAGTGCAATCGTGTCTATTGATATATGATGTCTTACCTTATACAAAGGCTTTCATAATTTTGTGACAGAGATTTGCAGTGAACTGAAGTTTCCAATTAACTTTCCTTTCCTTCAGGTACACTAAAAGTCACCTGAAGGTGGTGTAGGGGGGAAACACATCGGTTCAAAGTGTGTGAGAAAGATATAGAGCATTCTGTCGGAAACTGCTGCATACCAAGGAAAATGTCAAGCTAAGGTGCTGGGTTGGTTTCCAGTTTACAGCCGCTCCTGTTGAATCGCAGTGTGAACGTGCAGCAGATTAGCATCCTTTACTGATGGATCACCCTGGAAATGTCACTCGTCATGATCACACAATCGACATACCAAGGAATGATCTGATGTCGCCGTCAACATCCCGTCCGGACAATCATAATCACTTGGATGAGTTGAACCACAACAGAGGTCCTTCAAATGAAGTTCCTCCTGTCCCAGAAAGTTCTGGCACAGCCGGTATGCCTGACTTTCGAAGCGCATCTTTCGTGAGAAGGGATCAAGTCAATCGTCAGCAGAATCCTTTGAATTCTGGCTTATGGATCTCAATCGAGCTTATTGTAAATGTTAGTCAGATTATAGCAGCTGCTACTGTCCTGTCGGTATCAAGGAATGAGCATCCACGCGCTCCACTATTTGAGTGGGTTGTTGGCTATATAATAGGTTGTGTTGCTACTATTCCACATCTTTATTGGCGCTATCTCCATCGCAATTGCCAGAACATCGAGCAAGAACCATCAGCCCAGGGTTCATCTCAAAGGAACATATCCGAGTCTGATTCTTTTGCAGCAATTTCATCTGCTCATGCATCAGAAGCTGTAAATGAAGATAACAACACTGGAGTCCCAAGAAACAATTTCCCGATTGCAAGTCCAAGGTAACATTTTCTTCCCCTGTGAAAAAAAGAACATTCTCTTCGACTGAACCACCTGCAGAAGCAGTTTAGCTATCACGATTTGGCTGCTTCTGCATAACTAATAATGAGAGTAAACATTAGGTCTTTCAGGATTGCTCAATACTCCCTCCATTCCAAAATAAGTGTCTCAAGCTTAATACAACTTTGTACTAGAGTTAGTACAACGTTGAGACACTTATTTGGGACGGAGGGAGTACATTAGATCATTTTACTCTGCCCCCTGGATGAGATGCAACGTTTTGAATTCTTCCTGATGTTTAAAGTTACGAAGTAACAAGATTTATTTTTTTACTTGTAGGGTCTACGCATTGGTTGCGTGCTTGAAGTTGGCCTTGGATTGTTTCTTTGCCGTGTGGTTTGTTGTGGGGAATGTGTGGATATTCGGTGGCCGCTCTTCCGTCCATGACGCTCCTAACTTGTACAGGTGTGTGTTGCTAGGTGCTCTGCATGACACGTTCCTTTCACCTCGGATGTACCTTGCTTATTTGTTTGTAACCATTTTCCAGGCTGTGTATAGTGTTCCTTGCATTCGGCTTCATCGGCTATGCACTGCCTTTCATCCTGTGCACGATGATATGCTGCTGCCTGCCCTGCATAATCTCCATGGTAGGCTTCCACGAGGATCTGGATATGAACAAAGGCGCTACCGCAGAAGTAATCAACACGCTGGTGGCGTACAAGTACAAGTCGATGAGGATCCGCGACGGAGGAGATGTGGGGGAAGACAATGGTGGCGTTCTGGCATCTGGAACTGACAAGGAGCGGACTATCTCCGCGGAAGACGCCGTGAGTTTCCCACCCGTTTTCCATTTTACACTTATCAAGTGTGGAAACTTGTGCTCATGCATACACATTTGTGCCGCGTTGCGCGGTTAGCTGACATCTGGGAACCTCTGGGCTCTTTCAGGTTTGCTGCATCTGTTTGTCAAGGTTCTCGAACAACGAAGATCTGCGAGAGCTTCCCTGCGGGCACGTCTTTCACATGGAATGCATCGACAAGTGGCTCAAGATCAACGCGCTGTGCCCTCTCTGCAAGTCCGAGCTGGGCGGCTCAACGGCGGCATCTCCTGAGGCTGGCCCCGAGGGCCAACACCAACAGAATGAGAACAGGGAAGGAGGCGACGTCGAGTCACAGCGGTAGCTGTTCTTCTGCTTCGTCCCATGAGCATGGGCATGAGGATGGAACACGCCCTTTCGCGTGGTGCACACTGACCAACTCCTGATTTTACGTGACAAGCTATAAGTAGGACGCAAGTCCATTTCTCCCATTCTGGCGGAATTGTCTCGTATATATTGTAAATACTCACACCTGCTTAGCTAGTGATCATACTCAGTATTTATCGAATGTGGCATTCACCGGAAACAGTGGTTGGAGCACTGGAATTGTCTCCAAATCATGCAGAAATTGAACTGTTTCATGTGAAATTCCAAAGCAGAGAGCTCATGACCCTGTAACTAATTAATGCCGCACTTCGAGTCCATCCGAGAGTCTTATTCTTTTGCGGGAAAATACTTTGTATTACTCAAATATCAGGGTTGCATTCCTCGTTACAGCGATTTACGACCACATCTGGTCCAAACCATAGTGTGTTTCTGACATC